TCAATGTAACTACCCCATCATTCCTTCCTCAAGCTAATCTGTAAATGTTAGATCTATTCAGCAATAACGTTAATTACATTGGCATATTTATCTGACATTTTCCCAGCTTGTAGTAGTCGATCAAAAAGCTGTTTAGTTTCTTATGACTTTACACTAGCAGTGGAATTTACTGCGATGTGACGGGGCGCCACCTGACATCTTGCGTAGGGCGCCAAATTGGTTAGGGCCGGGCCTGACTGGTACCTTTACTAACCTAAAAAGAACGACCTCTAAAAGAATGAAAGTCTATTTTCTCTATTCCTGCAATTGAGAAACAGCCAGTGTTTGCAATGACAAGTTGGCTAATTCAGGATGGCCGACACACCGATGTGTCTGGAGCATTCCAATGTATCATTTGCATATACATGATTATGTTTTTAGAGCTGTTCAAAATGCACGCACATGTGAAACTTCTCAGTTTTCCATTTTCATGAGCCAGTACTTAAGAAATAAATAGATAAATAAATAAAAAGTTTGCAATGCCCCCGGTCGGAGGAACAGAGACTCACCTGGGACTGTTGGAATCAGCAAGAAACAGCATTTTACTTGCCACTGTCTTGTATCTAATGAATAATTCAAGCGTGAGCATGTTTCCTGATGTGAGTCCATTTTCTGGATTGTTGCTGGGACATCCTGAGCTGCGGTGCTCTCGCTGTGAGCCCAGTTTCCCTGCATGCTCTTTCCTCTAATGCGCTGCCGGGGAGACTGAATGAACGCTGGAAAAAAGCTTGAAACTCTTTGACTGTGAGCAACGCTTTCTGATTCATGATGTCATAAAGGGCCACTTCAGGCAATTACACATGCATTAGCCCACACAGCGCAGGAAACAGCCCTTCACTCTGCTCTCTCTCTCTCTCTCACACACAATTGGCTGGAATTAACTTTGTTATAATAGGCGTCAGATCCATTTGGAAAACAATTGATCAGCCTCTCGCCACTAACAGCTGGATTGGCTGAAGTCATTTGCAGTCAGTAGCTATAGGGGAAGTCTAAAGCAGGGGTCTTGCTTTCCTCTCAACACCCCTTAAGCAGATGGTTTAAGGCCAGACGCTGCAGGCGAAAACAGCTCTTTCATGCACCTGTCAATCTTGAGATTTGGGGCTTTTCATAAATGTCCAAATGTCCTCGTGCAATGCAATGTCAGGCGTGACTCTTTTGTTTTGCTAGATTCAAACCAACGCAACTGTGTTCCCGTCTTGCACCATGTTGTTTAAAGGGTAAGTTCACCCCAAAATTAAAATGATTATTCACTCTCATGTCAATCCCCTGGAACCTTTGCTTGAACAACTCTCAGATCCATACCTGCCAACATTTGTCTTTGAAAATCCGGGAGACCGAGGGTGGGGGAGTTGGAGGAGAACGCCTAAAAAACACACTACGTTGCCTCAATGTAGCGACCTTTCTTCAGCATTGTACCAACCTGGTAAAAAGGTTGAGGGTCTACGTTGTTGATAAAGCTGTCACAACGGTGTCATAATGTTGCCGTTGCTTTAGGTTGTGCATAGGCGGCGTGGACAACCACTGTACAACATTTACTCGTCAGTAGGCAGTATTAACAAACTGGCAAGGAAAAAAAAACTATAAATGTAGTAAGAACGTCATATCAAGGTTGTTGAATGTCACATGACAGCATTGCTACAGCCTTCTCATGTCTTACATTTCTATGTTGTAACAATGTAGCGAGCATGTAAGTGGTGACCGTGCCTTTGAAAAAGGAAGGGTTTGGTCGTAAACTGGTCGTCAATCCAGGGACTGTACCAAGAAGATGAGGACTAAGGGGGGGTGAAATTCCGGGAGTTCTTTGGGAGACAGAACAAAACAGGAGATGGGTCTGAAATATGGGAGACTCCCAAGATGGGAAATGTTGGCAGGTATGCTCAGATCTCCAACAACACCACTGACTCTTAACAGGAAAGGCCAGGTTCATCACTTTTTTGGGATCCTACAATTGAGTTGTGGTCTTTACAGTTTTTACATAAGTTGTAAGAATTTGCAAGCATATATGTTAAACTGATAAGGATGTTTTCCTGATTTGTTAGTGTAAGTATATTTGCAGTGCATGCGAGTTCTCTCAGCTACTGTAGAATAGAAACCATATAGGCAATTTTCAGAGGCCATTTTTTGTCGCCAAATTAGTAAAAGTGGATTCACACATATACGGATTTTGCTTTAAAATGTTGAAATAGATTTCAAACACAGTACATATTATAATACATAATACAATGCATCTATTCAAAGGGGTGGTCCAGAGTGTATTTTTTAGGCTTGTTTGTGTTTATAAAATGCAAAGCAATGTGTGCTCATGCTTCACTTGTAGAAAATCATGTTATTTTATCAGATATCTTACTTTGATTATGCACAGTTTTATAAATGCGAGTTTGTTATTTGAGATGAAGGTACAAAAAGAGGCCGCATAGAGAGACACTGCAGCTCTGCTGAAAATTGTGTGTGTTTACAGCGGTTTGACGGATAAATATAAATTTTTAATTTATTTATTTATAATTTGTAACTAATTAATTAATTTATTTATTTATTTATTTATTTGTTATTATAAAATGTTAGCGGTGCCAAACAGCATTTCCAGTTGTTTACATCCTTGCTACAACATACCGTTAATGCTGGAAATCATGTAATTGATTAGTTTTTACAAATAAGAATACTTATTGGTTGTGGCTCACAAACCACAGCTTCGTCAGTTGGAGGAGTTTTTAGTCGAATTCAGCGCTGAACTGAGAGAGATTCTGGAAGCTGTCCTTTGTCAAATGCTAGAGCTCTGTATTTTTTTTTTTATAATTCCCTGAAACATAATTAAAATTAAACTGTAAGCACTTCTGTCTTTGTGTCGTCTCCTTTGGAAGCCCAAATACAGAAACAGAACAAGCTCTGTGGAAACAGCAGCATTTGGACAACATCTTAGCTTTCTCTGCTATAACATAACAGCGCCTCTGGCCAGGCTCCTTCGCTGCGTGGAGTGTATGTGCTTGGTGAATGTGCATAACCTGAAGCACTTGTGATCTCACTAGCCCGGATGTATTTATTTGTAGTCCCCGAACTTCGTTCACTGTAGGCTATGCTAAGCTACCTCTGTAAGAGCCAATGTCTCCCTTTGCATTGAACTTTGAGCGTCTTACATTCAGAGATGTTGTTTATGTTCACACAGCTACATTACAAATCAAAAAAAGTTTAAAATATGATATCGTAGTGGAGCATCCATTTTTTTAATTACTTTTTCTTTCAATACCAGCTGTAAACCTCCTTTTCAGACCTCCGTTTTTTGTTTTTTTCATATCTATTCGGAAGTATTTTACAGAGGGATATATTGATATATTGTTTGTCTAATTAACATGTTATTTCACACCAAATTGTGATTTTTTTTGTACTATTTTCTGAATTATTTTATGATAAAAAGAGATTCCCCAAATCCCTTCTGTAAAAAAAAGAAGTACTACAAATGGCACTTTTATAAAGTATCCTTTAAAAATTGGTGTACAAAAATGACTCATGGATTTTCTTTAGTAGTTTGTAGCTTTTGTAGTGTTTCAAGGAACTTGTCAGATCTTTTTTATATAAGAAAAGAACTGTGTGAAGATTCTTCAAAAATTCCCTTTGTGTTGCACAGAAAAGATAATTACATAGAGGTTTTGAATGATGACAGAATTTGTCTTCCTTTTAGCACATTTCTTTGTTAGATTAGTGTGTATAAAGCGAAAAAAAGTGAGAAGGTAATATTTTCTCTTATCAGCATTGCCCTGCACTGCTAAAATATTAGTAAATTACAAGTTTTCCATATTTTGTATGATTTATGTTTTTTAATTTTTTATATACCTTTGTTTATTTAAGCTCTTCAATTGCATTATGGGATCTTGATCTTTCTTCCAATAAATTTTAACCTTGAAAAGTAAAAAGAAATAAAATCTTTTAAATCACTGCGGACTTTTTAACAAATGACATTATTATCGTGGGGCAAGGGGTGGAGGGATTGTGTATGTAAATTGCTAGTCAACAACTGTTTTCTCAGAGCATGACAAGCTAACAAAACATTAATGCAACCCTGATACAAGTTTTATTCATAGAAAAAATTTTAAAAAATTAAATAAAATACCGGTATACTACATAAATGGAGGCAACTTGAATGGTTTGTGAGCATAATTAAGAGCACACAGCATGTCATATTATGTATGAAATTATGTCACATCCATAATGTATCATATTATGACTATGTAAAGTCACGTAAACAAAACAAAACTATGATGAATATGCCGAGATCAGCGGCAAATCAACTTTAATCAGCTGAGGTGACGAGACCGTGAGCAGCAACACCTAGCTGTCACTCAAGTGGCCACACCCTTAATTATGCAGACTTAATATAAACTAAACAGATGAGTTATAATAAAACTCACCCCTCTCACAGTTGTCATAAAGGATAATACTAGCTATATGCAACAAAACCATCTTTTGTACCTGTAAAAATGTTTTATCAGCTGTAAAATTGACCAATTTACCATTGCAGTCAGTGAACATCTGGAGGTCCTGGAGCCAGCCCCCAAAGGCGAGTCAATGAATTGCAGTTTCAGTTACTTCCGTATTGGCTTCATGAGGGAGATCTGGATGCTGTCGCTTGGTTATGCAACAAAAACCTTGTAATAAACTGCCAGTACCTTTTTTGTTACTATACATACTTATACATACTAAAAAGTCAATAAAAGTCACTTTGTTGAACTTGAGTTTTCATCATCAGAAGAAGACAGAGCAAAGATCAAAGTCCTATAATGCAATTCATAACCGTAAATAAACACTTGCGACACACAAAATATGGAAACTGATAATTAACAGATATTTTTTTACAGTGTGCATTCTAGACCTTCTAACTTCAGTATGAATCAGCAGTGATTCCTGAACAAACTCAAAGTTTCAGCCTAAACATCCTGTGACTCATTTTCAATGAAAGAACGTAGACAAACTATAGAAACAGGGAGAATTTATTTAAAGCACTTTGTCCCCTACATAGAAAAATATGATTGATTTAAGTCAACAATAATAAATAGAGTACCTGTATTCTTGCAGGCCCCGCTGATGCGTACAGTAGTACAATCAATATCCAGTTTTTCGCAACACAGCAAAGGCACGGGTATTTACCGTAAATCTGCAGTCTGATGGAACGGAAGGGCTTGAGTGGCGTATGAACAGTGAACTTAATATGACCTGCAAGAGCGTTAGACTTTATAAAGACGGGACACGTTGGAGAAACAGCAGCGACTTGTACAATGAAACCTTTCGAGATTCCTCTCTCTTTTTTTAAAACATACAAATACATATTGTGTGAGTGCAGAATTGGACACTGGATTATCATTTCAACTTTTTGACCAGAATGTGACTTGACGTTTTACACCATAAATATTGGAAGAATGTTTTTTTTTTAAATCACTGACAAATATTCAGTCCTTGAGAAACTTCAGTGGATGCGCCAGTTGTTCATGGTCCCTTGAGTGGATCTCAATGCAAATGCACATATAAGCATCATATAATCAGTTGTGTTTTAGCATGTAGTGCAAATGTTTTGAAGTGAAAAAACAAAACAAAAAGGGAGTTCAGGGCAGGAAAGTGTCTGAATGTTAAAGCATGTCATGATTCGCTTTATGTGACAATAATAAATGCAGCAGTTTTGCCAACCCGGGCTCATTATTGATACGTACTCCTATATACATTTCTGGAGATCAAAAAATAATTCCCAGAGGGTCCATTTTTTTGCAGTTTTTGCTTTCCACTAGAGGGCCCTGTGTACAATTTGTCAGATCTGAAATTTCTCTCATCGTTTTCGTGCCTGCTGTTCTCATGTAAATCCACAGGAGGCCGCTGTCGACTGACAGACTGAACAACCGACGACCGACCAATCCCCCAGCCCATCCCCTACTCTAAACACAACTGATGGTATTTTCAAATACACCGATCAACCCGGTCACACCTTCCTTATACCGAACCGATAGTGTTTTCAAATACATCAATTGACCCAATCACCCCTTCTCCAAATTCAACCGATAGCGTTTTTAAATATACCGTTTGACACAATCACCCCTTTCCTAAACCCAATGGATAGCGTTTTTAAATACACTGATTGACCTGATCACCCCCTCCCCAAACCCAACCGATATAGTTTTCAAATACAGCGATTGACCCAATCACCCCTTCCCTAAACCCAACTGATAGCATTTTCAAATACACCGTTTGAACCAATCACCTCTTCCCTAAACCCAATCAATAGTGTTTTCAAATACACATATTGACCCAATCACCCCTTTCCCAAACCCAACCGATAAAGTTTTCAAATACACCGACTGGTCCGCTCACCCCTTTCCTAAACTCACTTGACAGCTTTTTCAAATACACCGTTTGACCCAATCACCCCTTCCCTAAACCCAACTAATAGTATTTTCGAACACACAATTTGACCCAATCACCTCCTCCCTAAACCCAAGCAATAGTATTTTCAAATACACAGATTGACCTGACTACCCCTTCCCTAAACCCAACTGAAAGTGTTCTTTAAAAGCACTGATTGAACAATCACCCCTTCCCTAAACGGACGCTCAACCTGTGGTCTTTGTGGGTCCTAATGCCCCAGTATAGTGAAGGGGACTTTATCCTACTCAGTGAGTGCCGTTTTTCAGGTGGGACATTAAACCGAGGTCCTGACTCTCTGTGTTCACTAAAAAACCCCAGGATGTCCATCGAAAAAGAATAGTGGTTAAATGCCAGCTACCTGGCCAATTTTGCCTACAAATCTGTCCATCATGGCCTCCTAATTACAACTTCTCTAAACCCAAGGCTTAATTTGTGCTGGAACACGCCGAATCCAGATCCAGCACCTCTGAAATCTGATCCGGCACCTTATTTTACAGATTCCCCTCTTCAACCGCCCTCCTCCCCCAACTGCTGTTCACCTTCTTCACGTTTGTCCACGTCAACCCTGGCCTGCTCACTTTCGTCCGCGACACCTCTCCGCCATCTACCCCACCAACCCCACAAACCCCCCTTAACCCAACCGACAGAGTTTTCAAAAGCAGTCCAGAAAAGGCAAAGCCCTTGTCTGATTTTTAACACGTTTTCAGATCTTACTACGTCCTCACCTTGGTATTTACTTGGTTATTTTATATATTGCCTTTTGTTTTACCTGGATTTTGGAACCATTCTTCACCGTACTCGACCCTGTTGTCCCGGTCAATTCCTCTTTGCATCTCAATTACAGTGCAGTGTGCAGGTAACCTCTGGGCAAACTGGTAACAGTGGAAAAGCCGTCCACATGGAGGCAAGCGGTCGGCTGGTTGCGCAAACAGAAACAGAAGTCGTCGGTGGCGTCATACCGCCCCCTAGCGTTCGTTCTAAAGATGAAATGCAGCCATACGTAGCTCTGGCAGCATATTTCACGCTCTCTAGAAATGTATATGGGGTACATTTTTACAATGAGCCTGTGTTGAGTTTTGCACACTGATCATTTCTCGTGAATTTTCAACATCCGATAACCAGACAAAATCGACCTCTTTCACTACAAGCAAATCAGCAGTTTGAAATTTAAAAATAATCAGATTTTCTGTCGTATATCGTAAAACACATATAGGCTGTAGGTCGTTGTTCATAAACCACTTTGTCGTTGTTAAAAATTAAATACTTTAAATATCAAGGAAATTATAAGGCTTTAAAAGTCCCTCGTCCTGATGGCCTCCTCAACCTTCAGTCCTGCAGAAGAGTCTTTGGAAAGCTCGTTCATTTCTCATCGAATGCTTCAAAGCTGCGCAGCGCCATGGACCACTAGCCGTAGATCTTTAGTGAAGAAAAAAAGCCCTGATTGTCAACAAAAAAGTTCATTTTAGGCTATAAGAAAGTGAGTAATCACAAACATACACCGATGTCCGCTTGAAATGTTTGGTCGCCACCAGTCTTGAGATGGATTTGCTGCTGATGTCATTGGTTTTCACAGTTCTCCGCTGTATGACTTATCAAAAACAAAAGAAGAATTAAAGCTCTGGTTTTTAGCAGGGCAGCTTCGTACCTCTAAACGTGGTAGCAGAGCAGCGTGTGGGCATTTTTGAGCCTCGGTTGATCGACTAATCCAAGCCGTTCTCCAGTGTGCTGAAGTCCATGAAAGAGAGCTTTCAGATGTTCCTCTGTGCTGTGAGGTACTTGAGAGCAGCGGATCCGTACTTTCGAGAAAGGTCTTGGTGGAATTCGTCTTTTAGTGTAGTCAAGCAGTAGCGGTAACTCGGACTGGAGCGAAACTTGGAGATGTCAAAGCTGGGCGCGTGGGGCATGTGGATCATGAAGGCATTTGGTAACACAATAAGATCATACTCCTGCAATGAGGAAACATGATAGGTTAAACCCTCGGTTATTTTCATGTTCAAAAATGTTAATTAATTCATAGTTCAAATGAAAATGTTAATTTACTCACTATTTACTGCCCCTCAAGTGTAATGTTAATGTAATGTAATGTGTATTTATATAGCGTATTTATTGTGTATGGCCATACAACCAAAGCGCTTCACAATCTCGAGAGGGGTTTCTCCACACCACCACCAGTGTGCAGCATCTACTTGGATGATTCGACGGCTGCCACAGGACAACGGCGCCAGTGCGCTCACCACACACCAACTATGTGATGAGATAGAGCCAATTCAGTGGATGGGGATGATTGGAGGCCATGATCGTAAGGGCCGATAGAGGGACTTTGGCCAGGGCACCGAGGTTACACCCTACTCTTTAAGAGAAGTGCCGTGGGATTTTTAATGACCACAGAGAGTCAGGACCTCGGTTTAATGTCTCATCCGAAAGACGGCGCCCACTGACAGTATAGTGTCCCCTTCACTTTTACTGGGGCATTAGGACTCACACAGACCACAGGTTGAGCGCCCCCTGCTGGCCTCTCTAACACCACTTCCAACAGCAATCTAGTTTTCCTAAGTGGTCTCCCATCCAGGTACTGACCAGGCTCAGCCCTGCTTAGCTTCAGTGAATAACCGGTCTTGGGCTGCAGGGTGACATGGCTGTTGAGAAGTGGATCCAAACTGTTACTTAACCCCTTCAGACCCTGTGTCCATTACAATGGACATCACATGACATCCCATTTTTCTGAAATTTGGAACATAATTCAGGTCTGAAGGGGGTTAATTCTGTTGAACATTAAGGTATTTTAAAAAAATGACAGAAACCTGTAAATATTGGCTTCTATAGTAGGAAAAACAAATACTATGGAAGTCAATGGTTACAGGTTTCCAGCTTTTTCTCAATACCTTTCTTTGTGTTCAATAGAAGAAAGAAACTCCAACAGGTTTGGAACAAGTGAAGAGTGAGTAAATGATGGCAGAATTTTCATTTTTGGGTGAACTATCCCTTTACTACTGGGATAAAACTTGTGTCAGGAGGCATACAGACAGTACATATTTTGGATGTCTCCCTTAAATGTTCTTTGAGTTTGATTATGAAGAGAATGAAAGTAAAAAGAAGTGTTGGGAACAACTTCACGTAATTTGAGGGATTTTTTTTTCTTATACTTGAGGTGTTTCCGGTCAAAAATGACTGTCCCCCACCCACCCCAAATTTCTTTCTTTGGTTTAGACTGTCTGACTGTAGGTGATTCGTTTCTTATTCATTCATTCATTCATTTTCCTTTGGCTTTGTTCCTTGGATCGCCAGAGAGGAATGAACCGACAACTATTCCAGCATATGTTATATTACGCATCAGATGGCCTTCCAGCCGCAACCCAGTACTGGGAAACACTCATACACTCTCACATTCACACGCACTCATACACTACGGCCAGTTCAGTTTATTTAATTCGCCTATAGTGCATGTCTTTGGACTGTCGGGGTAAACCGGAGCACCTGGGGATCGCAGCAAGAAGGTTGCTGGTTTTAAAAGCCCCAGCTGGGTCAGTCTGCATTTCTGTGTGGAGTTTGCATGTTCTCCCTGTGTTTGCATGGGTTTCCACCGGGTGCCCCGGGTTTCCTTCACAAGTCCAAAAACATGCGGTACAGGTGAATTGAGTAAGCTAAATTGGCCGTAGTGTGTGTGTGAATGAATGTGTATGGATGTTTCCCAGTGATGGGTTGCAGCTGGAAGGGCATCCGCTGCGTAAAACATATGCTGGAAAAATTGGCGATTCATTCCGCTTTGACGACCCCTGATTAATAAAGGGAATAAGCCGAAAAGAAAATGAATAAATTAATTTATTAAAAAAATTAACCACTTGCTGTGTTGCAATTTTTGCACTTTAATGTTAAATAGAAACATTAAGTTTGGGATTAAAATCATTTATTTTGCCCAGTAAAAAATTGGTATACAATAGACAGACAGACGGAGATGGATGGATGGATAGATAAAACATTATTTATGGGGTATGTTGAGCTGATATGATACATACACACTGCTGGGACATCAGAGACTTATTTTATATCTTGTAAAAGGGGTATAATGGGTCCCCTTTAAAATCTTACCTGAGCATCGAGCTCCATGATATGGGAAACTTTGTTCCAGCCAAAGCCAACAAACCTCTGGTCGTACTCGGGACAGTCTCTGCGCACGACAACATACGGCTCAAAATCCGCCTCCCACTCCACCTTGTATGGTGTCGTGGCTGTTCTCCATTTGGCATAATTGGTTGGCGCGTGACCCTTTGTCCAGACATGATACCTGCAATTCAGGAAATGAAGAATTAGTAAAGGAATGAAATTTTTCACCACCTGAAGTGCTAATGCTTACAATTATGAGTCTTTTAATTGTGACTGTGGCATGATGATCATTTTTTGGCATCTATTAAATCAGTAACACTTATCAGAAAGATTATTTCAGATAAAACAGTTTCACTACAAGATAATAGAAATAAATTATTAATAAAGTGCACTGGCAGTAAGATAAATGTTATTTCGAATTGCTTTAATTTAGATTTATTATTAATAATAATAATAATAATAATAAATAATAATAATAATTTGCTTTAATAGTAATAAACACATTGCTAACCCTTTATTTAAAATTTATTAGTATTAATAATAATAATAATAATAATAATAAAATTAATACAGGTATGTACTATTATTATTATTATTAAATTTTAAATAAGGGGTAAGGAATGTGTGTATTACTATTAAAGCAAATTATTATTATTATTATTATTATTATTATTATAACAATAATAACAACAATCATAATTATTATGATTATCATTATCTATATGATAATGATAATCATTAATATTATTTATTATTGTAATTATCTATCATTATCATCATCATCATCATCATAATAATTATATTAACAACAAGAATAATGATAAATAATAATAATAATAATAATTATTATTATTATTATTATTATTATTATTATAAAATTTTAAATAAGGGGTTAGCAATGTGTTTATTATTATTAAAGCAAAAATATTATTATTATTGTTATTTTTATAAGTTGTAGTAATAGTAATAGAATATTTAATAATACAATTATTATTATTATTATTATTATTATTATTATTATTATTGTCATTATTATTATCTATCATTATCATAACAACAACAACAACAATAATTATTAATTGTAAAATAATAATCATAATATTTATAAAATAAAGAGTTAGCAAGTTGTTTATTATTATTAAAGCAAACTTATTATTATTATTATTATTATCATTATCATTATCATTATTATTATTATTATTATTATTTAAACACCTCAATGTAATGTTTTTATATATATAAAATAACAAAACCATGTGAAACCAACATAATTACAGAAATGATATTTTTATAAATACTGTTTTATCAGCTATTTTATGTGTCTTGTCTTTATCACTGACACTATTATTTGTGTTGTTTATTTGTAGTAATCACTCTGGCGATTTGGATATGTTGACTGTCTGCTGTACCTGAAGGTGTAGAGAGTCCCCATGTCCAGCATTGACAACAGCTCTGCTTTGGATTTGGGGAAGGAAAGGCGATATCTCAACGTCTCAAAGGCAGGCACAACCAGAGCCTTCTTGGTATTGGCCATATCCAGCTGGACTATACTTTTTCTACATGGAAAAACAAAATGAATGCAGAGAGGTATTACAGAAATGTAGCCATCAGATGAAGGCAGGTAAATACAGTTTTTCATTCATGACCTGTCAATTTTTGGCTTTTTGGTTGTGTTTTATATATTATATTTGCAGTTAAAGTCACAATTATTTGCCTTCATGTGTTTTATTTTTCAAATATTTTCTAAATGATGTTTAACAGAGCAAGGAAATTTTCACAGTATTTCTGATATTATTTTTGCTTCTTCAGAAAGTCTTAATCATTTTATTTTGGCTAGAATAAAAGCAGTTTTTAATTTTTTTAAAAACCATTTTAAGGTCAACATTATTAGCCCACATTTTTTCTTGATTGTCTACAGAACAAACCATCATTATACAATGATTTGACTAATTACCCTCATTTGCCTAATTAACCTAGTTATGCCTTTAAATGTCACTTTAAGCTGAATACTAGTGTCTTAAAAAATATCTGGTCAAATATTATTTACTGTTATCATGGCAAAGATAAAATAAATCAGTTGTTAGAATTGAGTTATTAAAAGTATTATGTTTAGAAATGTGTTGGAAACGTCTCTTTATTAAACAGAAATTGCGGGATAAATAATCAGAAGGGCTAATAATTCTTCAGTTATGATCACCAGCGATCTAGCAGTTGCATATCACTAGAGAACTACACATCTGCATCTGATATGAACAACAGATCCCATCATGCACCTGACACACACACCAGTTCCTGTTCTCTCCCTGATCACACACACAGCTGAGGCTTGTTGGGACTAATGAACAGTACTATTTATACTCCTCGCTTTGACATACACTTTGCTGAGTCTTGTTTCCCCGTGAGCATTTCCAAGCAGTTTCTCTGTATAGTTTTGTTTTTAACCCAGTATTTTGTTTACAGTTCTTGTTATTTTGCCGCCCATCCTGACCATTCGCCTGTTTCTGACTGCGCTCTTTGAATTACCCTCATGCTCCAGTTTGTACCTGTTTAACCGTTGCCTGTCTGAGTCTTCTCTAAATAAACTGCATGTGATCCTAACCTCCGTTGTCCCCGCCCATATGCTACTGAAGAATCAGCCATGAGTGTGAGAAACTAAGGAAACAATGGTCATCAATGACGATGAGTTTCAGCTCTGTGTCCAAATGACTCTTAGCTGGCAGGAGTGATTGTTGCAATGATATCTGGGAGTTGTAGTTTGACAGGAATACAGGAAGTTATCTCCAGTGGAGACAACACCACTGGCTATCTCAACATCTGACCTCAACTGTATATACACACACGCAAACGTATATATTAGATAAAATGTCTATTTTTAGTTATAAATTAAATATTTATATCTAGTATAATTTTCTAAATATAAATGCAAATATTTTGTATTTTTATTTTACATATATTTTTATTTATATACACGATATCTGAAAAAGTAGCAGAGTTAGTATAGGCTATTTCTGTCCGTTTGCATCCCATCCCTTTGTGCCCCCTGGCGGCATAGTTGCAAACTTTGGTCATCCCTAAAAACAAGTTCTTACTCCTTTAGAGAGGCAGTGGTAGGAGTCACAGCGTTTAAGCTCACTTTAAAGTGTCACCCACTGTATGCACAAGTACACACACATTATGCAAATACAAACTTTTAATTTGGATGTGATTAATCATTTTACGCTCTTACATTTTTATTTATGTTCAATCTAACCCTCTCTGTATAAAATGTAATGACAAAAAATGACAACAAATATTTTTTATGTTGCTTTAAGTATATTTTAATAAGTCAATCAAGTTTCAATTTATCATTTTTTTTGCAGTAGAAGGTTCAACTTAATATTTTTAGCCAGTTTGATTGATCTAAGTAGAGTTGACTAGAAAAGTTAATTTGATTCTACTTAAAAACATAAGAATATTTTTATAGTGCTCTTAGAGACTATTCTTAAGGAACGCACAACTCACCTGAGGTAATCGTAGAGGCCGTACATGGGCAGAAAGTCAACATCGGTCAGAAAAACGTAGGGTGTGTTGACGTTGCGAAGCGCCACATTGCGCACCAGGTTGACCGGGTAGAACTGACCCTCCTTGTAGACGATGTGATAGCCCACATTCTTGCGGTTTTTGAGGACTTCGGAGGCCTGGGCATACCGCAGAAACTGCTGGGCCTCGGCGTCTGACATGTACAGAGCCAGACTAATGGGGCCTTCCCAGTGTTTGCAGATGGCCTCCAGCATCTGCAGTCTGTGGACACATACAGAGTGTCTTGCATCAACATTCGGCCACGTAATTGAAGTCTTTCTTTTTCAAATGTTCAAAGCTGGAGGGCAAGCTTTCAGTAGATTACATAGCATGTTGAGATCTTCTCTACACCACTTTCAGTTCATATAGCTTCAAACGTAAACAACACTGGTATCCTGTATAGCAATCCAATTTTTGAAAATGAAAGAATGCTTTGGTAAATAAAGCTCAGTATAGAAAATTACATTTCTGAAATAATAATAAGTATTAAGAACTAAACACGATTAAAAACTTTGATAAAAAAAACTTTTAAAATATTGACTTTAAGATGATTTGAAATTATTGAAATTAAACTTGAAATGATAAAAAAATTACATACTAATTTAAAAAATGTATTCACTTTAACATTATTTGGAAAATTAATTACAAGTTTCTGAAGTAAAATGGTTTAAACTTTGTGATTATCATTATTGTTGTTGTTGGTATTATCATTATTGTTATTATTATTATCATTATTGTTATTATTTTTATTATAATTATTATTGTCGTTGTTGTTGTTGTTATAATAATAATAATAATTATTATTATTATAATTATTATTATTATTATTATTATTATTATTTAATGAACAGTTCAGATGCAGAAACCTTTTAGAATTATAATTGTTTTCTTTCATTTAGAAGTGTTTGCATCTGGACTCCTCATATATAAAAATAGAAATATGTGATATTGTGTGATAAAATATTTTGTGTGTATTTCTATTTCTTTAAATAATCCAGGCAAAATATTAGCCTCTTGCAAACGTTTTATTTGTTTTCAAAAATTGGATGCGATTCAAAGTGATCTGTTACAGAGCAAAATAAATTTTCACAGTATTCCATTATATATACAGGGCTCAGCATATACAAGTACACCCCTCACAAATCTCTCTTTTAAATTCATATTGTTAATAGGAAGCTATACAATATTATATCTGTGTATATGCATCAGATTAGTCAATACTAAAGCCAAATCTGGAGCTTATCAAACAAAATAACTTACGATAACTGTCCAAAAACTAGTACAGCCGAATTTATGTTATAAAAAAAATATTAAATACAAAATTTAAATAGTGGAAAAATCAAGAGAAGCAAAAAAAAAAGGAAAAAATTAGTTAAAATATTGTAGATTGTTTTTCCAATAATTTGCTTGAATTTAATTGTATTTTCTTTCAATTTCTAAATATGCTTGATGACCAAAATATTATTTTAATAAATAAATCAGTTTAACAAATCTGTTTTGTTTAAATGCACCAAAACACATCGCCTATTTATACAACAGTTTTGTCTGGTTCTTGAATCTGATTGGCTGTTAGTCGTGCGATATTCTGCAATAACAGCACTGGTCCAGCCTCTTAACCCCTCACCCATGTGTATTACTCTGCTCACATACAGCATCAAGCAGAGGACACTCTACAAACAAATATTCCTGCTGTTGGGCAACATAATGTACTTAATCAAGAATGTAGTTGTTTAGATTGCAACTATGCAGTTTATTAATAAGGATAGTGCTTATATAATAATATTTATAATTTCTAAGAGACAGCGCGTCGGTGTCCATTAGCCTGCCATACTGAGCTGACCAAAGACGATTGACATTGTCTATCCACAAGATGGCGACAGAACCGCATAATAAGCCCTTAAAAGATTAAAACATCATCATTTCTAACTACAGCTGATCACATCATTATTATACTGGTGAGTGACTTTCTAAGTCGATCTCTCTCTTTTGTATGTAGTAGTACTGTATTTACACCATATAATTGTAGTGTACCGAATGTGAGATGGGACTCATCAGGAATGTGTGTTGTGTTGGCAGAAAGAAAGAAGAAATGTCCACGTGTGTTTAGAGTTTTTTCTTATCTGGTAGTGATTGCAATGCTTTTTTCAGGGTTAATTATTGTGATATCTCGATTGCAACAGAGAAATACTGTAGACTGTAATAGACTGTAATACAGTAAGGAGATATCTCTGTAGACGGATAGCTTTTCATGTCATGTTCAGCCTTATAATCTTAAAATGTCAGGAAAATCATATGTTTTGTCTTTTCTTTAGACATTACGCTAGTGAATCATTCAAACACTTGCTGAATTAGTAATGGCTGTTCTGACGTCAGCTGTAGATGTGAATGAACGGCGGAAGAAAGTAATTTCTAATACAAAAGACTTTTAGACTCTCCGTGTTTAATTTTCTTTTTTATATACACGATTGTGCCGTCGAACTGTTGTATAAGCGCAATATCACGTGAGTAGCAGTGCGATATTTCTGTATATTAGCACTGGTTCCCATATATTTCCAATGTGAAAATAACTTGAAGGCTGTACATGTTTTAAAGAAGTTACTAAGCTACACTTATTTATTCTCATTTCTGTTTTGTTTTGTTTTATTTATATAGCACATTTAAACACAACAACTATTGCCTAAGTGCTTTATAAATCAAACAACAAACAAAATCTATACAGTACTTACGTATACAGCAATTACATTTGTAAAATAAAGCTCAAAAGATGTTAAACAGAGCAAGAAATATTTCACAGAATTTTCTATAATATTTTTCTTATGGAGAAAGCTTTATTTGTTGTATTTTGGCAGGAAGAAAAGCAGTTTTTAATTTGTTTAATTATTAGCTCTCTTAAGCATTTTCTTTCCAGATTGCCTACAGGACAAATTGTCATTATGTTTAGAAATGTGTTGAAAACAATCTTATTTCAGGTAAACAGAAATTAACAAAATAAATATACAGGAGGCTAATAAGTCAGGAGGGCTAAAATTTCAAAATAAATGTAATTACAATCAAATCCAAGAAACCAAAGCTGATTTGTTAAGTGGGACTTCTGCATCAGGTTCATTTAAAACAACATCATTTTCGACACTTATGTAATTAAATTGCATCATCATTATCATAAGTTTGAGTGTGCACCTGTCCATGGAGAGCTGAGCGACCAGCGTGATGTCCGTGCCATCGTCTGTAGGACTGTATTCGTACTGCAGAAAGTAGAGGTGTACCCTGTGCAGCATGATCCGCTCCCTCCGGAAGTCATAGCACTGGTCGTCCTCATCTAACTCCTCTAGAGCTTGCTGGAGCTGCAAAGAAAGAAGAATAATCTCGTTTTATCAGCTATGTCGAGGAGGGCAGACCATGCAGGATCATGTCATGTTGCCCTTTGAGAATTTAAGATGCTGTTTTTTCCTTCTCCAAACTCAAGGCTGAGCTGACATGGTGACTCATACTTATTTAGAATGATCCGGCGTACGACCATAAAACATTGCTTCTGCTTCTCGTTGTCTCAAGAAATGCAGTGAGCAATGAGCAACTTATTCTCAACACTGTAAAACTCATTGTTCTATGCTTTGTATTTAAAAATAAAACACATTGCCTTAATTACTTTTTACTCTTGGCCAGGAATGATCTCATGTACTTTGTAAATGTGTTTTTTTTATGATGTTCGACAGATATTAGATACTACTGTTGTCAGGATATTTTTTTTGGATTAATGGTTTTAGTAATACCATTTCAACTTTTCATTAGTATTACCAGTGGCGTTTGTAAGGGGGTCTTTGGGGGCTTAAGCCCCTGATGTATTGTCAAAAGCCCCTGATCTTTTGGAATATGTTGCACTTAAATAAAAACAGGTTGTATAACATTTATTTTGTTATCTAAGTACTTAAAATTACCACATACATCACGTGCATTCCACTTAACGCAGCGTTTGTGTCATGTAATTAAATAGTCAGCTGTTCAGCAGTGCCTGTTTCTACCAGCAGGTGGGAGTGGCACTGTTGTCACATCGCGTCAAAAAAATCCCGCCACTGCACTGTCATTATTCATTCATTATTTTGAGGAGCTGAAGCTGATGAGGCAATAATACAACTGTTTCGAAAAACTGAATAGTTCTAACTACTAATGAAGCTTAATATTTGTTTTAACAGTATAAAATGTGTGTAGCTTTGATGAAAAAAACAACTGTAATCAAAAAAATGTGCGTCATTTAAATGTAAATACATGCGAATTAGTCAGAAAAACGTAAATTGCACTAGCTTTCTAGATATGATATATATATATATATATATATATATATATATATATATATATATATATATAGACACATTTATCTAGATATGATATAGCCAGTCACATCTGTTTCTGTAATAGTTAAATCACAATAATAGTTCGTGCATCAAGAATATTATTTTATAGCTATTCTCTACTATAACATGCTATGTCAGTTAGCATCAAATTATAAATCGACTTTCTTACGAAAATAGCTAAGATGGCTGGGAGATCACATATGAAACATTTATTGTCGCAGTCGTGTTAATGATCAGTTAAAGCCTTTTAATGTTTATTCAGATCTTATTTTCATTTAACTGCAGCAATTGCTGGATGGTTTCATCCATATTAAGGATTTCCTGGAATGCCACTGCGTCGCCAATATTGCAATTAGCTAATCAGAAAAAGATGCAATCTAAATACATGCTTATAAAGATGGTTATTAAATAAATATGCTCACACTTTATTTTAACGTGCAACTAAATTATTGTTACTATTAACAAACTATTGATAAACCATTATATTTACTAAGATTTTACCTCAATAATTTTAAGATCATCCTTTAAAAGTGCTATAAAACAGTCAATCTCTCAATAAAAGGTAGGTAATTAGCCACAAGTAAATGTTGTGAATTGTTATTTAAACTTAAAGTGCTACCATAAATATTTATATATATATATATTGTTAAAATATGTAATATTGAGGATAATGAGCTGAGACTTGACTTAAATTGAAAAATCGCAATGAGATATTTTTACCCAATTTCGGCTTTTACAAAGGAGCTTTATGCAGTTTTGTGAAAAACAAGTAAACATGTATCCATATAAGGTAATTTTCCAAGTGCAGGTAAAACAATTTCTTGAGTAATAAAATCAAATGTATATAAAAAAGTACACAAAAGTATACAAAATAATACATATTTTTAAAAAAATCCAAAATTCAGGATTCATGTTGTTTTTTTTTCTCGCAAAAAATTAATAAAGCTGCAAATTTAATTTGTTGTTTGCTCATTTTTCTATGCAAAACTTGGTGGAATACCTTGATGGAAAGTGATAAGTCACCTAAAGATGAAAACTCTGTCATCATTTACTCTCCCTTTACTCATTTCAAACCTGTTATGAGTTTCTGTCTTCAGTCTAACACGAAAAAGATATTTTAGAGAAAAACAAAAACCATCAACATCTATAGAAGGAAAAGCAAATACTATGGACATCAACAGTTACAGATTTCCAACTTTCTTCAAAATATCTTCTTTAGTGTTCAGCAGAAGAAAGAAACTCATATAGGTTTGAATCCACATGAGCGTAAGTAAATGGTGAGTAAATTTAAATTTTTGGTTGAACTATCCCTTTAAGTGTGTGTGACATTTTCAGGTCATTTAAAAAAACCATAACAAAACTGACAACCTTACTAAATTCAGTCGCTATAATCACAATATGAATTTTTTATAGTGTTTAATCTCTAATAAACTGTGCATGTTATTTTAACACAAGCCTGTATAATATCCTGCATGCATGAAATAACCCACCACTGTGCTCTCTGAGCTGGCTTGACTGGGACATCCGAACAGCTCTCGTCGCAGAAGATTCCCATCATACTCCAGGAACGTCAAGTAAAGATTCCGGAAAAACTCCACATGCTTGTTTTTCACCCTCAGCTTTTTAGGAGAGTTCCAGTGAATGACCTGCGGAGGAAGCAATAAAGCTGAGCAATAAACAACTTCAAAGACATCATTTCAATACTGAAATGGAAAGCTGACAGGAAATGAATGTGATGCTTGGGTGAACATTTGCATTAGAGACAATTTGTAAAACAAACACAACGAATTTGGCAATGATTAAAGCAAACTGAACCAATTAAAGGGACCCTTTTCACTTTGAACCAATCGTTAGTCTTCATTTCCGCGGGTCAATTTGGTCGTTTGCACCCATGAGACCTATAAAGTCCAACCAGGGCTCATTGATATAACATTTTTTCTTGTATATGTGTACAGAATTCACTGCAGTTTTCAACTGAACACTTGAGGCAGTAAAGTGTTCCATTACTATTTCATGCATATTATGATTACAGGCAAGATTATATATTGATGAGGACCCACTTTCAAGTGTTCACATACAAAATACAAAGTTAAAAATTGTAGAACTGTGTATGATTTGGAAATTGATGCAATGTAGTGTTTCCAGCACATATCTACAATATGTTCGTTTATATGGCTATTCCAATATTCCAAATATTTGACACTTTTAATAAAATTATATTTAATGTATCATCGTTTCCCAGAGATGGGTTGCAGCTGGAAGGGCATCCGCTGCGGAAAAAAATGAGCGGGATGAGTTGGCGGTTCATTCCGCTGTGGCATCCCCTGAATAATAAAGGGACTGAAAGGAAAATGAATGAATGAATGAATGAATGAATGAATGAATGTCTCATCGTCTTATATATTAATGTTAGGTCTGGTTTGATCATGAAATTTGCTTAATCATCTTGTCATTGACGATGGTCAACATGTGACCAACACATCTCACCTGAAAAAAAAAATACAATAGTAATTTATAGTCAATACTATAATCAAAGAGCTTAGAATGATCAAGAGGCGACACTCAATAGAACGTTCCATTGCAACAGCAGCGCACAGCAACAGCCCCAGATTCCACCATTTTGGAGTGAAAGTGATCGGCTGTCCTTTGGATGTTATTACTGTTTCGATGGCAATCAGCTGGTTTTTTTTTTTTTATTTATTTACTTAAAAAGTGCATTAAAGCTGAGATACAACCTGAAAGACGACAATACAACACTTAATATCACAATCATCAGCATCTTTTAATAGTTTATTTTAAAGACTTATAATATGCTGTTGTTCTATTGGAGTTTTCATTCCAAAATGGGCGCCACACCATCTAGTGGCTGTTTCCCATATTGCACTAGTGTCGCCTCTTGGTGATTCTATGCTCTTTGCTATAATACTATAATATAATATATAATGGGCGACGCAGTGGCGCAGTAGGTAGTGCTGTTGGCTCGCAGCAAGAAGGGCGCTGGTTCGAGCCTCGGCTGGGTCAGTTGCCGTTTCTGTGTGGAGTTTGCATGTTCTCCCTGCGTTGGTGTGGGTTTCCTCCGGGTGCTCCAGTTTATCCCACAGTCCAAAGACATGCCGAACAGGTGAATTGGGTAAGCTAAATTGTCCGTAGTGTATGAGTGTGAATGTGTGTGTGGATGTTTCCCAGAGATGGATTGCAGCTGGAAGGGCATCCACTGCGTTAAAAAATGCTAGATAAGTTGGCGATTTATTCCGCTTTGGCGCCCCTGGATTAATAAAGGGACTGAGCCAAAAAGAAAATGAATGAATAAATGATCTATATTAATATATATACTACTGTTTTGAACCATACCATAGTAAAGTACATGAATTTATCTGTTGTGATGATGCGATAGTTGTTATAGTAACACAAAAACTATAATAATATAAACAAATTACCCAACGCTGTAGTTTTCTACAACTAAAGGGTTTATTATACTACAATACACCACAGTTTACTGTGGTAAATCTAAAGTATACTACAGTATATATCAGTTTATGAGTTTACTATAGTTTCCAGTAGACACACAATAGCCCCTTTCACACAGTGATACCGGTAAATATCTGGAAAATTTCCGGAACGACTTTACCGGTATATTCAAAAAAGCGCTGTTCACACAGGCGAGGACGTTACGGAAATTTTCCGGAAAAGAGCATTCACACATCCATTCCAAAATACCGATAAATTCTGACATCATTCACCACAAATGAGCTTTAAACGGCTGCGCTTGTATTTGTAAACATTTGACTAAATTACAAACTCTGTGGATGATCAATATTGTGAACAACTTTCGCAGGATCACTTTCGCATGTCGAGATGTTCATAATATGTGCGTGTGCAGGCGCTCACAGGCTGTTTCACAGGCACACGCAAAGCTTGAAGGTAAACAAACAACGGCTTATCATAAGCATCTCATCGATGATTATTTACACAGTTGGCATTAAGAAGAACATATAAACGTGTTCTGACTAACTTCTAGCAGCTAAATGTGTCTGGAAAAATATTCAAAGGCTTTTATTCTCACAAACCGCGCGGACGTAAATGCGTCTGACTGTTCTGATTGGCTAAAGCAGACGTCTCACGTCAGCACGTTCTAGACGTGCACTCGCTTATTACGACAATCTTCCTTCTGCATTCACACAGTGCAGCATTCCGGCAAATTGCCGGTAATGTTACAACTTCTCTTTCCGGAAAATAGCCAGAACGAATTTACCGGTATTTTCAAAAAGGACCTGTTCACACATACAACCTTTCCGGAAAATTGCTGGTAATTTTCCGGAAAGGTCTGTATGTGTGAAAGGGGCTAATGATTTAGGTTTCCAGTGTCTAAACAATGTTATTTTGACGACCAATAACAACGTAAAATGATGTTGATATTTGGTTGATTTTAGGTTGTGTTGGAAAGTGACCAAAATCCAACGTCGAGTCAACATCTTGAGCCAACGCCATATTGATGGCTAATACAGACATTTATTCATCAGCTATGGCAACCAAAATCCAACATCTGATAGACGTCATAGTGGTAACATCCACACAACGTTAAGCTGTAACACCATTAGACGTTGATGTTTGGTTGATTTTAGGTTGCGTTGGAAAGTCAACAAAATCCAACGTCGAGCCAACTTCTTAAACCATCGACATATTGATGGCAAATACTGACATTTATTTGTCAGGTATGGCAACCAAAATCCAACATCTGATAGACGTCATAGTGGAAGATCCACACAACGTTAAGCTGTATCACCATTAGACGTTGATGTTTGGTTGATTTTAGGTTGCGTTGGAAAGTCAACAAAATCCAATGTCGAGCCAACTTCTTAAACCATCGACATATTGATGGCAAATACTGACATTTATTTGTCAGGTATGGCAACCAAAATCCAACATCTGATAGACGTCATAGTGGTAATGTCCACACAGCATCAAGCTACAAAGTGCTACAAAGCTACAAAACTACAAAGTGACACATTTTTGAGCAGAAATGAATGAGTCTGGGTTGAAATATTCTCCTATATATGCTGTTACCTTTAGATCGGACACTTCAGTGTAACACTGTTCAGAGCGAGTGTGATCTGATAACTGAACGTTCCAGAAACAGGGAAGCTGATGCACCAGCACTGGGTTCTGTTTGATGAAAGCGTTGAATATATCCTACAAAACACGAAACAAAAATATAAGCATTCTTTTTCATTATAAAATGCATTGTTCGGCAGTATTTCCATCATAATTTAGAGCACTGTTGTGATAAGAGCTGTGAATTAAAGTGTTGTATTGTTGCTGAAGGACATGAACCTGATCTGCGAGGGATGTGGAAAGCATGCTCATCAGCTCTCGCTCTGCTGTCAGTCTCCACATCTGTTCCCAGCCCATCCGCCGCAGTCTCTCCAGGTACAGTAAAATCACACCTGCAGAGTCAACAAACACCTGTTGTACAAATGCAGCCCAGCGCACACACTATTCTTTGTGTTCTTAGTCAAATGACATGCAGCATGATCATGTGTGTTACATTTAGAAGCGATTATGTTTGTGTGCTCTTTTCTTAAAATACGCATGAAATTGAAACTAACCATATTGATTTTGTTCGCTCACATTGCTATTTTTGTGGTGAACAATTCGTCTGTGCATGTCGTTAAGAAAAAATAAAATGTTTGCCCTTGTAATCTGAAATTGAAATCTATAAATACTCTTCCTGTTTGTTTTCAGTTAAATTCTCAGATTATGTTTGTCTGAGGTACTGGGTTTGGATTACATATTTAGCTACGCCCCTTTAACTGTCAGTTTGACAAAAAACAGAAATGGTGAGGAGGAGGAGGAGGAGGAGGAGGAGTCTGTTAGGTTGTAATAACTCTCCCCAAACCCTTTTCCCGATCTTTCTGAAGGAAGTGCCTACTTTACAACATCCAATCAGCTCGTAGTAGAAAAAAAACAAGCCACACCCACAGTTTTCTCATTTAATATTCTGTTTCTCTAGGAACTGCATCACAATACGGAAAAAAACGGTCGCAGCTTCCAGTTCATGCAGACTTTAAGGCTCATATTAGTTTATTAGTCAATTAGTTTATTAGTTTACTCTCGAAAACCCCAATAAAGATATCTTTACACTCAAAAAAGTGCTGCTTGCTCAAACTACTTATGTAAAATGAGCTAAAACTTATATACTTATTTTAACTTATTGAGCTGAAACAACAATTCTGGAGATTTATTTATTTTATTTTTTTGGTCTTTTATGTTCAATCCACTTAAAATTAGTTCTGTCAACCTAAGGGATTTGTGTTAGACAATGTAAATGAATTGTGTGGAACCCTGATTTCTTTACAGTGTGGATTTCATGAAGTCCAAATGCTTTTTTCTATGATTTTATTTGAGGTGTTGAATGTGCAATTTGTAAATTTAAGGAAAAGTACAAATCCAAAGATTATATAACAACAACAACAACAATAATAATAATAATAATAATAATAATAATAATAATAAATAAATAAACTGTTATTATATAATAATAAAAGGATATTAATTATATTTTCTGTTTCTCTTTTTCTTATACACTCAAAAACATATATTTTTGCTGCTTGTTCAAACTAATTAGCTAAAACAACACAACTCTTAAGGTGTTTTTGGAAAACATAATTGTTTTATATACAATCCACTTAAATTTAAACTTAATCTAATTCATTTAAGTTGTCCCAACACAAATTGATTGTGTGGGACCGATAATTTTTTACGGTGTGTATACTTTGAGAGGCTTTCTGAATGAATGAATAAAATATGCAACAAGGCAACTCGGGGTGCTGAAGTATGATAGGCTAAACTGGCATTGGGCGGGTTAAAGGGACCAAAAACAAAGACAGACATTCTGGGATGTAACAGACGTTTTCAAAGCAGAATATCTGAATTCAGCATTGTTTTTCAGAAGAACAAGAATGTTCACTTGGCATGTTTCTTAAATATCAGCAAACATATTAAGGTATTTTTTTACGCTTTAGAAGAGTTAAAAATTTACAGGACCTTTAATAGAATGTAATCAAGCAACATCGTTTCACAAAATTATCCGGCAACATTGCACAAAAAGTTGTCCAGTGTATCATCAGCATTAGTTTTTTTGTTTACTTTTGTTTTCCCCCTTTCAAATATTTATCTAGTAGAATCACAAATCAAACTGATTTTCGGTGTAATTCCACTAGCAATGACAATCATGTATGCAGTGTAAACCACAGTCAATCTGCATGTCCTCACCGGTGTTAAATCCTCGCCCCAGGGCTGGCCAGGGTTTGTGATTTTTCCACAGATTGCCCAGGTACCAGTCGCTCTGATTCTCCACCAGACCAATCACCTGCTTCTCTGCAATCACAATCACGACATCAGTGTTAAATCTATCAGATGCTCTATGTACTATTGTAGTCAGAATTATTAGAATTTTTAGCCCCCCAGTATATTTTGGCCATATTATATGTTAAACAGAAAAAAAAGGATTTGTTTTTGCAACACATTACTAAACATAACAATTTTAATAACTTATTTCTAATAACTGATTTATTTGATCTTTGTCATGATGACAGTAATTACTAGATATTTTTCAAGATACTAGTATTTAGCTTAAAGTGACATTTAAATGCTTAACTAGGTTAATTAGGCAAATATGGTAATTAGGCAAGTCATTGTATAACAATGGTTGGTTCTGTAGACAATCAAATATATATATATATATATATATATAGTTTAAAGGGGCTAATAATATTGACTTTATAATGGTTTTAAAAAAAAATAAAAACTCCTTTTATTCTAGCCGAAATAAAACAAATAAGACTTTCTCCAGAAGAAAAAATATTTTAGGTAATACTGTGCAAAATTCCTTGCTCTGTTAAACATCACTTAGGAAATATTTGAAAAAGAAAGAAGGGCGAATAATTTTGACTTGAACTCTATGTGTGTGACTGCTTTCATGAAGCGCCTGGTTACCAGTAAACTTGCGGAAAATGGCCCACAGCTCGGCGATGTCTGTGGCGAAGGTGATGTCCGTATCGAGAACGATGACCTTCGAAAGGTTGGATGGCAGAGCTTTGGTGAGAGTGAGCTTCATCAGGCCATAAATTCCTGAATAGTGTTTGTTTGGTATCCACGACACCTCCGACTATGACACATATAACAAGCAGAGAGAAAAAGAGAGATGAGTGTGAGAAAACAGCACACACTTTATCAGCCTTGGCTCTAGAAGCATTTTACCTATAGATTTTTTTTTTTACAAAGAGAATTCAGACCTTCTTTAAGTAAGGGATAATGTACATTTAGGTGGTCCTAGTCTGACATGAAGAGGAGCAGTGTTGTAAAAACCTAAGGGCTTTCTTTTGTCAAAACAACCACCTAGATGTACCATACCTATCTAAGTTTTAGAAACAAATACTAACTTGACTTCTAGTTGATCCTTTAGTATCAGAAGTGGCTTATAGAAAAGGCAAAGTCCTCTAGATTATGCTTATTTTACCAAAATAAAATATGATCATGCCTTTATTTTTAATGACTTAATTAGGACAGTAAGGTCTGACTTGCTTAGACAAAAGTCTTGTCACTTAACAGAAATAATGTCCAGTATAGAATATAAAGTCATGCTGCAGTGGAAAAAGAACTAATCTCCCATGAGCTTGGAGTACTGCATCCATACATCTCTGCAATGACTCAAATCACTGATTGATAAAGTCATCTGGAATGCCAAAGAAAGCGTTCTTGCAGGACTCCCAGAGATCATCAAGATTTTTTTGGATTCATCTTCAATGCCTTCTCCTTCATCTTACCCCAGAAATGCTCAAAAATGCGCCTTCCTGCATGCTCTTTATCTGATGGCAGAATAGCAATTGAACAGTTCGAATGAATCGTTTAAAGTGAATGAACCTATTGATCCAGTTCAGTAAATCCAACTGAATTTTTTAAAATGGTTTGCATTTCCAGTAAAAACTATTCCACCAATGACTTCAAGTTACTTAGCTTTTAAATTGTCTAACACTCCCTCTGACAGAGAAAAAACAATATCCTGAATTATCCACTTATTTAAAAAGAATCATCAATTCGAGTCTGGAATCAATTGCAGTGCTTTATTCGGAACAGTATGAAGAACCTATATTTCAGAACCAAGTAGCATACTGCGCATGCGTGACTTAGAACTTTTGTTTTTTTACATAATGCATAATATATAACAAACGGTTTTGTTCATTCATTTTCTTGTCGGCTTAATTCCTTTAATAATCCGGGGTCGCCACAGCGGAATGAACCGCCAACTTATCCAGCAAGTTTTTACACAGCGGATGCCCTTCCAGCCGCAACTCATCTCTGGGAAACATCCACACATTCACACACACACTCATACACTACGGACAATTTAGCCTACCCAATTCACCTGTACCGCATGTCTTTGGACTGTGGAGGAAACCCACGCGAAGACAGGGAGAACATGCAAACTCCACACAGAAACACCAACTGAGCCGAGGTTCGAACCAGCGACCCAGCGACCTTCTTGCTGTGAGGCGACAGCACTACCTACTGCGCCACTGCCTTGCCCCAAACAGTTATGTATTTAACAAAAACAAGTTATTTCACTCAAGTATCAAGTCAAGTCAAGTCTTTTTTGGATATTTGTCAAGCAAGTCTCAACTCCTAAATTTTGCGACTTAAGTCTTACTCCAGTCAAGTCATGTAACTCGAGTCCCCCATCTCTGGCAGATACCATTCATTCATTTATTTTCTCTGCGGCTAAGTCCCTCTATCAATCCGGGGACAGTGGAATCAACCAATGACAACCCTTCCAGCTGCAACCCATCTCTGGAAAACATCCATACACACTCATTCACACAAATACACTACGGTCAATTTAGCCTACCCAATTCACTTGTACTACATGTCTTTGGACTGTGGAGGAAACCCTAGCGAACGCGGGGAGAACATGCAAACACCACACAGAAACACCAATTGACCCAGCCGAGGCTTGAACCAGCGACCTTCTTGCTGAGAGGCGACGGCACTACCTACAGCGCCACCACATCACGTACCATTTATTTTTAAGCATCTAGTATAACCGTTATAGCTGACTACAAAAAGACATAATTATCAGGCCTACAACCCCGCATGTGTTGACAATCACCTACTGGATATTCCCACCGTGTGCTCTGTGTTTGTTTCTGAACTGAATTCTGCACTTACGCCATCATCCACGTTCATGGAAATAACCCTCTACAGTTCTTATTGTGCGCTTCATCTTTTCAGCAGACAATCTTAATGACCCGAGCTCAGGTTTAATAATAATCTGCCGGAGAGGGGTTGATTGAAAAAGACTGGATTTCCTGCAGCTTAGCTTTCATATACTCAGGAGAGCAAAGAGGTCTCTATGCACAGCAGAGACACAGGATGTAAAATCCGCGTGATTAGAGACGGCTCCGAGCCAAACAGCTGACAATCAGAGGTGAACTCGGTGTGGGAGGAGCACGAGGGCACGGAACCGGCACAAGAAAGACTGTATTAGTGTTATTGTGCGTGCATTCATCTGAGAGTGCTTGAGCATGCAGTGTAATGTAAACTAGAAGCCGCTCTCCTGCAGTATATGCACGTGTGCCTGAGGAGGTGCTCTTTGATTGTCACTTCGCTCTTTCAGCGTGGCGTGCGCTGCATAAAAAAGAATTTCACCAACAGACGGTGAATAATTCATCGCCACAGCACCGCACATGCCAAATGGTTAAAAAAAGAGCCGCACTGTCGCTTTAAATGTACTAGCAGAAATGAATTATTCTGTGTTTTCCCTATGCATTGAGTTCTCCGAGAGATCGCTGGAGTGTAAACAAGCTCAATGTTTCCACTATCACAGACATGCCATACTGTCCCGAGGGAACTTTTGCCCCCGTCATTACAATCCATAAGCGCGAGTGTCACATCTCTCATCCCGGCTGTTTGTGGCTGAATGAGCTTGGAGAGAATTGCGATCGTTGTCTTGTCATTGGAGACTGCCTCGTTTCAAAACTATTATTGTTTATGAGCTTCCATTAAGCCTCTACACTGAGGCTGTATCCGAAATTGCCCTGTATACCCTTAAATAGTGCACTATTTGAGGTAGCAGCCATTCGGAATGGTGTCCGAAATCATAGTGGACATTCTGAAGTGCACTCAATCAATCCTACAATGCACAACAATAGTGAATATATAACCTATGGCTGCATTCCTGTCCAATTTTTGTATGCTCTTCACTCGTTAACTTCCTCCAGTGTTGTTTTATGCTGCGTTCACACCATAGACTGTAAAAGATATGGACGTAGTATCCGTGAGATAACTATAGGTTTCTGAAGAACCCTAAAGAAGCTACCAGTAGGCGCGGCCAACCCTCGCCATTTTGTTCGGGCGTCATCGCACCGACCGAGGAATACCATTCAGGGGCAAAGAGGTGGAGCGTGAGCAGAGCTACAGACGCCTGCTAGCATTTTGCTTAGACAGGCTTTCCTATGGGTTTTCCTATTAATACTTCATTACCTGCAACTCGTTTGTGTTCTGACCGCTTGTGCTTGGTTGTGTACTACATCAATTAAGTGTTTACACTTTTAAAAACACTGTTGTAAAACACTGAGCCACTAAAAATAGTTCATTTTTAGACATTATAGACATTTTTCTACAGGAGGAAAAACAAATTACTTCCAAATAAATAATTTCACTCACCTGGAAAATGGAGGCCACTAGAATGGTTTGTGAGCACAATTAAGTGCACACAGCATGCCATATCATCTGATAATTGTAAGACATAATTCCAAAAGGCAACTGACTAAAGCCACATAAACAAAACAAAAATACGATATATAAGCCGAGTTCAGCAGCTAATCAGCCGGAATCAGCTGAGGTGAAGTGACGGCAACCAGAAAGACCTAGCTGTCACTCAATTGGCCACACCCTTAATTATGCAGACTTCATAAAACCTAATATAAAGGAAACGGATGAGTTTTTAAAAAAATGTATCCCCTCTCAGGGTAACATTAGCTATTTGAACCAAAATCGTTCTTTGTACCAGGCTGTAAATACATATTTTTCTGCTGTGAAGTTGGCCATTTTAACAGTGGGCTCAATAGTAATCTGCTCCATTATGGAGCCAGGACTAGCGGAATTTCGATGAATTGCAGTTTCAGTTTCTTCTGTATTTGTTTCATGAGAGAGAGCGGGAGGTTGCCGCTTGGTTCACAACATATGCAGATAAAGGGTCATGCGCAAGTAATTTACATGTTAAGTCAATGCAAAGACAAGAATAGACATCCTGCAGGTACGTTTCATGCGAATGAAGTTGCGTGAATGGCGCAATTTGCACGTATGAAGCTTTCTTAGAAAAATCTGAACGTCGGCGGACAATCAGGAATTTGTTCTAGTATGGGTGTGATTATGACGTAGTGCCTGTTGTTGGTGTCCCGAGGGTAAATCCTCTTGCTGAAACCGGACAACAGCTCATCAAACTGGGCTCCGCTCAGTCAGAAGCACTGCTGAAAGCCTTCATCATCCAGGTATAGTTACTGGAAGCATTGATGAACTCACAGAGCTAAGTGCACCTCTGAATCTAATAGACTCGGACATGGTGCCGAACAAATATATGCTGTTTTTTCAGCCTTCCTAAAGCACATGAACATAGCTATTCTCTCTATAAAATACATGTTAGCCATTTAGCAACGAAGTTAGAGTCATTGAGCAGACAGAAGCCCCACCCATGACCCGAATTTACATCTATTGTGAGTGAATTTTACGAGCAAATGAAGCAAATTTCACATCAAATGAAGCGAGTAAACACAAAATGTTTACATATCTATTTACATGCAAATTCCATGATTTATTTGCACCTTCTGCTTCTGGTGTGAACACAGCATTAGATGTACCTCATTGATTACGTCACACTGCGTTTACTACTATTGGATCATCTGAATGGGTTTAAATGGAATGCCCTAAACACTTGAGCACTTGTGAACAACACTGTTGTGGCATCACAATCGCGTTGCATTCTGGAACATATAGGTGCTGGAGAGGACATACGAATCAAAATCAACATCAAGGGATCGAGGGTATATCCATGTAAGCTTCCCTCGATCACTTAATGAAGTGGAGAGCACTCCAAAATAGCATTAGGGATAAGAAATGAAGGGAAGTTTGTGAGTGAATTGTTTAAAAGCGCACTGGAACGCAGCCCTTGTACACTCAACAACTAGAATATACCCATAATGCACTGTGAGAGTTTGCGCACTGAATGAATTTTCATGTTTGACCATAGGTGTACATTTCTAATTAAAATATTACTTAAAGTAACGTTTGTATACATGATTGAAATCAAAATGCTTTCATTACTAATAGACAACTTGCTAAGTGTTAAATAAATTTCACAAGGCCTGATCTAGAAGCTATAAATCTAATCCGTCTGAGGGATTAACCACAAACAAAATGGCAACCCTTCTGTTTCCCTGAGAGCTCCAATACACTGGTTTGTTTTTATTCACTTCTTTAAGTAGACTATATTAGTGGATTAATGTAGGAAATAGAGAATGAGGGTATAGGGGGTGATTTTGGATGCAGCGTGAGAGTCTGAGACACTGTCATTATCAGAAGGGTATTATAGAAGGGTATGGGTGGTGTTATGAGGCAGGAGCTTACTTTGAGTTCATCAGCATCATAGAAGCTGACTTGTACCGACGGCACCATCCATGACTGGAACAGAGTGCTGAGGATTTGATTGGCCACCGTGTCTGTGATGAAATGAAAGTGCAGTGGGTTTCTCCTGAAAAGAGAGATGCAGGTTTTAGATTTTGTGAGAAATGTGAGCAAATGAGCACTTTGTTTTACATTATTTTTTTGGTTTAACAAATTATTTTAGAAATTATGTAAAGTAAAAAATAGATGTGTAATCTTAAAAATAATAAATTAAAAATAAATAAATAATATGTGTAATATTAAAAAATAATACATTTATAATAATAAATATTATGTGTAATATAAAAAAATATACATTTACTATAAAAATATGTGTAATATTAAAAAATAATACATTTATTATAAAAATATGTTTCATATTTAGATAAACAGTTAAAGTCAGAATTATTAGCCCCCCTGAATTATTAGCCCCTGAATTATTATTATAACAATTTTTTCTCCAATTTATGTTAATGGAGAGAAGATTTTTTAAAATCTTTTTTAAATTCTAATTTTTAATAACTGATTTATTTTATCTTTGCCATGATGACAGTAAATAATATTTTATTAGATATTTTTCAAGACACTCATATACAGCTTAAAGTGACATTTAAAGGCTTAACTAGGTTAATTAGGTTAACTAGGCGGGTTAGGGTAATTAGGCAAGTTATTGTATAATGATGGTTTGTTCTGTAAACTATCTAAAACAATACATAGCCTAAAGGGGCTAATATTTTTACCTTAAAATAGTGTTAAAAAAATTAAAAACTGATTTTAATCTAGCCAAATAAAACAAGTAAGACTTTCTCCAGATTAAAAAATATAATCAGACATACTGTGAACATTTCCTTGTTCTGTTAAACATTATTTGAAAAATAGTAAAAAAAAAAAAAAAAAAAAGAAAAATAAATTCAAAGAGGGTTTAATAATTCTGATTTCAACTGAATACTTTTTTGATATTTTTAAATTGTAACTGATATTTCAGTTTAGGTCAAACTGAGTACATGTACAAGAATCATACAAAGTGTAATGTTTATTTTTCTGGTCAAATATAGATGCTATTTTTAGATAGACCTTTTGGATATTTTGGGGAAAATTGTAAAATTATAAATTCCATTTTGAACATTTTGCATTTAAAATAAACCTTTAACTTGACAAATTAAACAAAAAAATAGCAGTTTTGGATTTGGAATTGAAAATTTAAACATACACTGTTAAACATTGCAGGATTGCACAGAATTCATTATTGTGGTCCCAACACAAACCTATTAAGTTAACATTACTAATTTAGGTGGATTGAACATAAAACTAGTTTCCCAAAAAAAAAAAGTTTCTGAATCGTGTTTGTTTTTTTGTTTTTTTTTTTGTTCCGAATTTTGTCAGTTGCTTCAACAAGTAGCAAAACTATTTTTTGAGTGTGTATATAATTATATGAATGTATATTTTAGGTTAACACATGTACACAAATGCTCTAAAGAATAGCGAAAATTCAGCATTTATAATTTTATGCTTTTCATATAAACACTGAAAAACAATTCAGTGACACAAACAATTGATATGGGCTGAATTTAAACAAACAAATTAAATTTAGTAACGTTCAACTGAACCTGTTTGCTTAAATTCAATCCATATATATCGTTTGCAACCACTTACCTTAAAAAGGATTTAGTAAATACATCAAAACCTTTTTTCAGTCTATACTGTAAGACTTTCCACACATGGAAACTATATTTCCACACCGTTTGCTACAGTGTATACCATTTATGTTCCTGCTTTTGGTTCTTACCTGTGGAACAAGATAGATTTGACCAGAGTGACCACGTCTCGACTGGCGTTGTGACCTGCACACACACATGCCACGTGGAGCAACTGTGTGGGAAAAGAAAGACCAACATTGAAGCTTAGCTGCTGAGGAATTTAAGCTTTATTAAATGTGCTCTATGCAGACTTCAGAAACCCTTGTTATTAGTGACACCGGTGGATTTTAAGTGAACTGCAGCCAGCAACATTGCAGACTCGCCTCCATACTGTAATTCACACATACAAGAGTCTAAATGTACTTTAGTACTTACTTATTAACTCCCAGAGCCATTTTATATCAAAATTTATAATTAGCCGCATCTTGTGTTTAGAGCATTTAGTTTTTATAAGCTGGATTGTTAGTCCAACGCTCATTCCCAAACTTGGAGGACCAGGACATACATACATACACAACAGACAATTTCGCTTACCAAATTCACCTACAACACATGTCTTTAGACTGTGGGGGAAACCGGAGCACCCGGTAAAACCCATGCCTTCACAGGGAGAACATGCAAACTCCACAAAGAAATGTTGAGTTCTTGCTGTGAGGCGACAGTGCTTTAACTCTAAAGGTCTTTTTTGTTGCACCGAATAAAGTGATTAACAAATGAACAGTTTTATCTAGCCCTTTTAAAGTTGTTCTACAGATTCATTTTACAGCTTCTAATATGCAAGTGACCCACTAAAATGTGTGCGCACGCATATGCCATAAAAATTATACAAATGTTGCTGCAATAAACACAGAATATTAAACTTCAACAACAGCATCTGTCAGCACGAGGATGCCAGGACTTTCCACAGAGTTAACTTTATGTTTCAGAGCCATTTTGCAATTGGTTTGAACCAAATGGCATTTTATCTAACAGATTTTGTCTTCATTTTAATCTTCACACATACTTTCTTTTCTTTCTGTTTCAAAACCACATTTCCACTTGAAAATGGCAGTTTAAATTCTTCTCAATTTAATATTTAGTTGTGTCTGAATTTAACCGATCTTCATTTTGTGTTGTCATTATTTATTTAAAAATAAGTCTGTAAAAAAAAACATTAAAAGTACTGGCAATTTATTACATATATTATTATAAATATTATTATATAAGTTTTTGTACCATAATTTACAATACCAGTCCAGACAATATATATCTTTAAAGTCACTTTTCCAAACTTTTCAACGTTAAAAGTTGTTGTAGGAAAGTCTAAGCATTTGAAAAGCACAAATAAACAAGAAACAAATGAATGACAAAACACAGAAACTGATATATAAATATTTGGGACCTTGATCTTTCCTCCAACAATTTTTGGATGTTAAAAGTTTTTAAAAAGTCTCTTATTAGCATTTTAAATAGTTTAAAGCTGTGATGACCCCTTGTGGTCGTTTTCTGTTGGAGTATGGGCATTTGTGCTTGTGTCTGATTGCGATGTTTAGTTCTCTTTGTTATAAGCAGCCTGTATTTTTCGGAAGAGTTGGGCTGGGGTCGGAGTCTGATGGTCGCCTACTTCTTAAGTCCGGCCATGGTCTGGATAGAGCTAATAAAGTTTTGCTTAGTGAAATAAGTTAAAATAAATACATTTTTCTACTGCAAATGCCCTCGTCTTCTCCTTATTTGTGGTGACTGGTGATTAAGGTCACAATAAAGTGATATATTGACTGGGCCTGTGTACACAAAACAGTACACAAAAACTGGTAACAAACCTTTTCTGTACTTAATTCTCTAAAAATAATTTCTTACATATTAAACAGTATTGCATTGTAAAAAAAATGCTGGGTTCCACACAATTAAGTTAATAAATAAATAAAGTTTTTTTTTTTTTAAATAAGTGAGTTGAACATAAAACAATTAAGTTGTCCCCAAAGAAACTCAATAATTGTGTTGAATCAGCTCATTTTAAACACACAGTTTGAACAAGCAGCGAAAGTCATAACTTTTTTTAAAGGGTGGTCCACAGTGCATTTTTAAGGCTTGGTTGTGTTTATAAGATGCAAAGCAATGTGTGCTCATTCTTCACTTGTAGAAAATCAAGTGATTTTTTTCATATATCTTACTTTGATTATATACAGCTACTCAGCTAACCTGAAAACAACTGTCATATTTCCTAGTTCCTCAGAAAGGCCCACCCTCAAGAGGCTCTGATTGGTCAGCTAACATAACGTGCTGTGATTTGCGGTTTGGTTCCACGTCACCAGGAAATCCGTCATGCCCCTACAAGCACACACTTTTGTGCTCTGTAAACAGTCCAGTCAGAGCAGCTGTTAGCAGCATTAGCCTGCTCTCTACAATAAAATCTGACAATTGTCTTTCACACATATTCGGAATAAACATGTGTAAGTAATATAAAGTGTTCACATATCTTTTGCGAGGTTGTTGTTTGAGAAGAAGAAGACATGGAAAGCGTCCGCACAGAGACAGACACTGCAGCGCTGCTGAAGATTGAGTGTGTTTACAGCGGTTTGACTGATAAATATGAATTTGCAGCTAAATTGTTAGCAGTGCCAAACAGCATTTCCCGTTGTTTATATTCTTGTTTACAACCTCGCTACAACATACTGTTAACGTTACAAACTGTGCATGTAGTTGATTAATTATAACAAATAAAAACACTTACAGGTTGTAAATTCAGCATTGAACTGGTAGAGATTCTGGAAGCTCTCCTTTGTCAAATGATGGCTATTTTTTTTTATAATTCTCTGAAACCAAACAAAACACTGCCATGCTCAATAAATGCCAACTAACCTCACACTTCTCAGCAGTGGGCGAGCGTGAGCACTCGCTGTGGTTTGCCCGCTCCTCAGCTGTGTTCTCCACATCCTCTGGACCGGTGTCTGCCGATGCCACCCACTGCTGGTTCCCATAGTTCCCCTCTGCAGGCTGACCGGCCAAACCCTGCGATTGGCTGAGTTGGAGACGGATCTGGCGGTTCTCCTCCTCCACTTCACGAACCCGTGATGCCAGGACGTCCCGTTCCAGCAGCCGCGCTTCAGTAGACTCCACCAAACATGCAGAGAGGAGCAGCGAACGTCCGTCTGCCATGAAAAAAAACAACAACACATTTCATTTCCCGCAAGAGATCTTGACAAGTTTGTGGAAAGACTATATATGTATATGAGACTATATATGTATATAGTCTATGCAAGTTATTGTGTGTGTGTGTGTGTGTGTGTGTGTGTGTGTGTGTGTGTGTGTGTGTGTGTATGTATATATATATATATATATATATATATATATATATATATATATATATATATATATATTCACCTCTAATTTCTTTAATCAGTCCTGCTTTACCCCTATTTTTTTCTAAATTAAAGAAATATTTAGTGCATTTTTCATCTACCAATATATATTTTGCTTTACTTCTTAATCTAGCACCTTCATATATATATATATATATATATATATATATATATATATATATATATATATATATATAATATATGAAGGTGCTAGATATATATATATATTATATATATGTGTGTGTGTGTGATTATGTGTACTTATTTATTATTATTATTATTAATATATATTATAATGTACTTAGGGAAATTACATTGGCTAGAAAAAGTACAGAAATTTAGTTACAGAAAAACAGTTTTTTTTTCCCGCACAACTCATTATTTCCCCCACAAACTTTTGCAAGTTATTTTAAAGTTTCTTGAAGTAAAAAGTTTGAGACAGCACAAATGTATAGAAATATAATTGTATTTCATTGTGTGCTTTAGGTGTTTATTACAATTAACCAACATCAGAGAATCCAAAACTGTTTTTGTAAAACTATTGAAAGAAAACTTTAGGCGGCCCGTTTTTTAGGTAAATGTAGCTATTTCAGAAGGATGATTGCCATTCCCATAAATTTAAATATAAGTCCTTCTTTTCTAAAAGTAACCACCTTCAATCAGGCCATGTATTGTGAATACAGTCACAGCTGAAGGGGTTTCAGGCTCTCATAGCTCATCGTTTAAATATTAATTTAACTCGACATTGCACAATTCAGAGCAATTTATTAACACTTCAAGGCATTCTTCGAAAGAATGTTTAAAATCCTGCTTCATAAACCACCTTTCTAATGCAGCTGTTTCAACGAATAGCCCACAAAGTGCTTTTGAAGTGCAGGGATACAGTTCTGGCATTTCCCCTGAAGGAAATGACAAGTCTTCTCTCGAGCTCTTATAGTTTTATGAATACTGATGATCATGCTCTGATAATCTCCCTTTCTGGGGGCAAAGGGACATTTCTCATGATTAATGATTGTAGAGCTGCATGAAATAATCAGTGATTTTTCACAGAGAAAAAATTTGATCGCAGTCTAAAATCCCATTTAAAATGTAAAGATTGTTTGAAAGGCTGTACATTTAAGCCATTAATATATATAAAAAAAAATAATAATAATAATAATAATAAAATAATAATAATAATAAGAAGAATAAGAATAATGATAATAATAATAATAAGAAGAAGAATAATAATAATAAGAATAAGAATAATGATAATAATAATAATAATAATAATAATAATAATAATAATAATAATAATAATAATAATAATAATAAAATAATAATAATAATAATAATAATAATAATAATTGTTCTGGGTGAGTTATGGTGTGGAGAAGCCCCAAAGAAGTGTATGTAAATACATGTCACATGTAAATTAATATGTAAATGCTGTTGTCTTTATTTGCTAAAATGCTATAATACATTTATTTTACATTACAGTTGCACAACTACGCTGCTATTGTTCATTATTTATGATGTTTACACAAGCACACACATTTTAACATTCACATTTAACACTATTTAAAAATCAAACATTTAACTTATAATTTAGACAGATATCCAGTGGGAATCCAGTGCTGCATTCACTCCTAAGCACACAGTCCAACAGAGATTTAATTAAACAGCAGCCTCTGCATGAAGCCATATCGCAATTTCCTATTATTTGGATGAATCGTGCAGCTCTACCTGACATATATATCTATAGAGAGAGATCTGTTCCAATTCCAGATAGAGAGTGGGCTTTTATAATGATTAGCTTTCTGAGATCTGGCTGCAGATCAGCTCTGTTATCAGCACTCGGCAGCATTATTGTGCGCGTCTGAGGATGACAGACCCCATCAGATGAGGATTTTAGCACACGGACTGAGATAAGACCGTGACTGACAGTCTCAACACCCAAGTCAAACCCGGCTTAAGAAGGAAACTCTTTGTCCGTCTAGCCTTGACATCAGAGAACAGACAAAAAAAAAAACAGTCCGGCGCGAGATCATTTCTATTCTGGAATCTAAAGATCTGATGATAAAAGCTTTGATACTCACTTTCCGAGTTCCCCACGAGCAGGTAAAGCCAGGTGAACAGGATGACGAAACTCAGAGACACCACCAGCAACTTCAGCTTCCCTCGACAGGGGCAGAGCATCCTGGGATTGTGGAGGAGCGGCGGGGGGAGGGGATGGAGCGATCAGGTCGGACTCACTCGAACACTGGTCTCCTGCAGCATCCTCTCTTCTGGAGAGAGAGAAAGAGGTGATTGGTTAATAATGTGCTACCTTTTGATTTGCTTTGCTTTGTGTAAATACTAGGAGTAACTTCCTTATTTGTTTATTTGGTCAAATTTTACTTGAAGGGACGTTCATAAGAGTGACACTTTTATAATCATTACATGAAAAAGATGGAGATTTAATGCATTCTTATGACACCAGTTATTAAAGGTTCAGGAGACCCCGGAGAACTTTTTTTTTATATATTAACAGATGTGTGTGTGTTGAGCATCAGTTAAGACAATGTTAGCACCTGTCAGCTTTAATTGTGGGGAAAACTGGATAATTTTGAGCTTTTGTCAGCTAATTTCAGCTTCCGGGTTTAAAATGATTTTTGGGGCGGGATCAAAATCGGCGACGTAGCGCAGAACTGCAAGTGCAATGATGACGCGTCGGTTTCTCATTATTATTCATAGCGGAGTTTTCTTATCATATGAGAAGAGCCGGCTGCTTAATTATTCATGAGACCTGCCAGACCTGCCAGTGTCAAGCCCGAGCTGAGAGACACGGAAACCACGGCACAGTATTTAGCCGTTCATGAAGGCTCATATGCGTTTGTTTCCATCATCCACGGGGTTTGTTGCATGTTTTCCCCCGCGATCTTGTCAGGGCCGATCATACAGCAAAGCTGTGTGCGTGCTGCAAGCATTTTTGTCGGGAGAGCAGCACGAGAATTAGAGAATGGCGGACGTTGTCTTTTATCAGGAGTTCGTTCACATTCAGACACATCGCCGTGCTGCTGTGTTTGCCTAAATCCTCCAGATTACCAGCAGGGTTAATGGTTAAAATAGACGGGTCAGGAGACCTGCTGCACTGAGTCTGCTGGATACGGGAATTGAGGGAGAAGTCCTCATTTATAGTGTTTACATGAACACGATTATCTTTATAATGATATAAATTGTGGTTGTCTGTATATGAAATTACGAATAACAAATGTAGCAGGGCATTAAATCACTGTTCATTTCTTTGCATTTTAACTTTGTAAACTATAAACTCATGCGTCTCCTCTTTGTGTCTCATTTTGTGAGCTAACTGACATCAACAGTTGTTCGCTCCCCTTCTCCCCTGCTGGCCACGCCCACTCCTGCCCGATGCTCGCGGAGCTCCACGCCCATTAATCATGCATCTTTTGAAAAAATTCTGAAGTAGACTTTAACCGAAAGTGGGGGGTGTCATGGCCCTTTAAGTGTCATTAGCTCAGTTTTTTCATTTTTGAATGCAAGGGTGGCATTGTTTGAGATGTCTTTCTTATGACAACTTGACATAAACAAATACATCATAAGGTGTCTTTATGTTAGTCATGACAGCTTGGTTTAATAAAAGCCTCTTTCACACAGTGAACCCGGTAAATATCTGGAAAATTTGCGGAACGACTTTACCGGTATATTGAAAAAAGCGCTGTTCACACAGGCGAGGACGTTAGGGAAGTTTTCCGGAAAAGAGCATTCACACATCCATTCCAAAATACCGGTAAATTCTGACATCATTCACCATAAATGAGCTTTAAACGGCTGCGCTTGTATTTGTAAACATTTGACTAAATTACAAACTCTGTGGATGATCAATATTGTGAACAACTTTCGCAGGATCACTTTCGCATGTCTAGATGTTCATAATATGTGCGTGTGCAGGCGCTCACAGGCTGTTTCACAGGCACACGCAAAGCTTGAAGGTAAACAAACAACGGCTTATCATAAGCATCTCATCGATGATTATTTACACAGTTGGCATTAAGAAGAACATTTAAACGTGATCTGACTAACTTCTAGCAGCTAAATGTGTCTGGAAAAATATTCAAGGCTTTTATTCTCACAAACCGCGCGGACGTAAATGCTCTGACTGTTGTGATTGGCTAAAGCAGACGTCTCACGTCAGCACGTTCTAGACGTGCACTCGCTTATTACGGCAATCTTCCTTCTGCATTCACACAGCGCAGCATTCCGGCAAATTGCCGGTAATGTTACAACTTCTCTTTCCGGAAAATAGCCAGAACGAATTTACCGGTATTTTCAAAAAGGACCTGTTCACACATACATACCTTCTGTATGTGTGAAAGGGGCTAATGTCAGCATAACTTGTCATAAACCTGTCATAAACATGATTGAGGTCATGGATTTTATAACAGTGTCTTTAATTTTCTTATGACACCAGTCATTAAGTGTCATTAGCTCAGTTATGTAATTTTTAAATGCAAGGGTGATATTGTTTGAGATGTCTTTCTTATGACAACTTGACAAATACAACCAAAGCTCATTCTGAAAACGTAGTCCCGCGGACGTTTCTGGAGACCGCGATTTATGTAGCCGGAGGTACGTATGGCTGCATTTAATTTTTTTAAGCGAACGCTATGGGGCGGTGTGACGTCGTTCCTTTTAGTGCTCACTGGCTGACCGCTTACCTCCGAATGGAGGGCTTTCTGGCCGCAACCAGTTTATCCAGTTAGCTCATCGGCGGAGTTGAGACGCAGAGGGGAGCTGACCACGATGATGACGATGACTGTGTTTGAGTGCAGGGAAGAGCGGTTCCAGAAATCAGGTAAGACAAAAACAGAATCCAAGAAATGAAGTGAACGAGTTCATAACAGCGTGAGAATGTGGTGAAATCTGAAAACGTGGTAAAAATCAGATGAGGGCTTTTCTTTTTTTGGACGGCTTTTGTAAATTGTTGCTTGGGTGTATGGAAGCAAGCTGGCAGACGTGGCAGTTGGTAAAACCGGTTGGGTTTAGGGAAGAAGGAGGAGGAGGGTGGGACGGGTGATTGGCCGGTCGCCCAGTCAATCATTCAGTCAGTCGGACAGACGGTCACTCGACAGCGGCCTCCAGTGGGTTTATGCGAGAACAGCGCGGACGCGAACCGTGCTCGCGAGAGACGTTCGAGATGTGAAAAAGTGCATACAGCGGTCTCTCGCGGATTGGCGAAAACAAAAACTGCACAAATACATACCTCCCGGGACATATTTCGCAGTCTCCAGAAACGTCTGTGGGACTATGTTTTCAGAATGAGCCTGGGTTGCACATAAATACATCATAATAGTTTAGTTTTTACTAAAATAGTTATTAATTTGAAGTTAGTTAAAATGTGTTGAAGAAAATCATGTCTCTGTTCAACAGAACTTGTGAAATACTTTTAAAAGAATAAAAATGTCACTGAAGGGCTAATCATTGACTTGGAAGTCAACGGTTACAGGTCTCCAGCTTTCTCCAAAATCTTAATTTGTGTTCAACAGAAGAAAGAAACTCTGTAAAGTTTGAAACAAACAAAAAGTGAGAGTAAATGATTAGGGAATGTTCAGTTTTTGAGCATCTATCCCTTTAAAAACCAGCTAATAGTTCAGTCTCGAGTGTGGAATTCACAGTATAACTTTACATAATTTACATTAAATAAGAGCTTGTGAAACAGCTGCTGCAATCCTTCCCAGTTCCTTAATATCAATCACAGAATGACTGACAGGCAGAGAGTGTTTCCTGCTTTTCTGATCACCCCCCTGACTCTTTCTTGCTATTTACAGAGTCTGGGGCTGTCACATTCACATGGCACTTATGTCAGTGATGTCTGTCAGATCGTGGGAACATTTTGTGCATGATATTTCACTAAAAATTAACACACAAACATGCAGTAGGTGTTCCAGCTGTGTGGTGTTTCAGATTGTGTGTATGTATGTATGTATATACAGTTGAAGTCAGAATTATTAGCCCTTTAATTATTAGCCCCCCTGTTTATCTTTTCCTCCGATTTCTGTTTAACAGAAAGCAGATTTTTTTCAGCACATTTCTAAGCATAATAGTTTTAATAACTCATTTCTAATAACTGATTTATTTCATCTTTGCCATGATGACAATAAATAATATTTTACTAGATATTTTTCAAGACATTTCCATACAGCTTAAAGTGACATTTAAATGTTTAACTAGGTTAATTAGGTTAACTAGGCAGGTTAGGGTAATTAGGCAAGTTATTGTATAATGATGGTTTGTTCTCCAGACTATTGGAAAATAATAAGCTTAAAGGGGCTAATAATTTCAAGTGGTGCTCACTGCAGAGCCATTTGGGCATCTGAGCTCCAGCGAGGGGGAGCTTGAGCTCTCGCTCCTCCTTTCTTGCACTTCTTCTACGAGTGATGTCACTGGGGGTAGGGTTAGAGGTGGGGTGGGTGTACGCATTAAAACAGCTTATAGGAGGAGGAGCGAGAGCTCATGCTCTCCCATAGATATATACACTAGATGTCGTCTGGCCTATTGTTGCCTATTGGACGGAATGCGTCAATAGCGCCGCCATCTTGGTACAGGGTAGCGCTCCTTTGAAATGAATGCGGGACCAAGGTACAGTGGAGGACTGTGGCCATGCAAAGCCAGAGATATACACATACACACATATATCTATGATCGGGAGTTTTCCCGGATGTTAGTATGTAATTTTTATTTTCTAATTACGAAAATTATAATTTTACATCACTTATCTACATTGATGGATCAGAGACCGCACGGGCATTCCTGACAAAAAGCTTGTGTTTGTGTGTACAGAAATGTACTATTTACCCTCCCTGTTAAATTTGATCTAATCCGTGTCCTGAAACACACCTCCTCTCCTGCTTTCACTTCTCATAGTGACGGAGGGAGCGATTCGTTTGTAAATGAATCCCCCGAACGACTCTTTCACTAACGTTAGCCGACAATAATACAAGTTTCTGGCAGCATCTCGTTGTCATATTTCTTTTGCATTGTTTGCTGATTTTATTCAACAAAACTAGCATAAGCCGAGTGTTTAGTGCGAGTTGGAGCTGCTTTGCCTTATGGTAAATGCAGTAAGTGACTGTATTATCATCAATAACGTGACCTGTTTAGCACAAGAGTTCAGAACATACAAAAACAGAAAAAAACTTAATGTTACCAATGAAATGTTCTGCCTTTGTGCTTTGTTTTCTTTGTTTGCTCGTTACTACACCCGTAGACAGCGCTAAAGTCCCGCATC